GCCATAGACATAATCTATAAATAGTTAAAAACATATATAAAAATGGCCTAAAAACCTCCTCTAATTTGGCCCTAAAAAACCTGTAAGATGCTGGGGGGGGGACAATCCCTCACCCCACCAGCCATCTCCATAGGTGCGGGCCCCCCTCTGGCCCCCAAGCCTTCTGGCAGAGCCAGGATTTGATCTCTTCCCTGAAGGCCAGGAGGGAGAGGGCACACCGCACCTCAGGCAGCAAGATGTTCCATAGGGCGGGCGCTACAGCAGAAAAGGCTCTCTGCCTAGACCCCACCAATCGAAATTCCTTGACGGGTGGGATCTGCAATCTGCCCCTTCTGCTGGACCGAGTGGGGCGGGCTGAGATGACCGGGGCGAAGTGGTTGAAGTCCACACATCTTCAAGTTCCCAAGGTTGAGGAAACACTGGTCTATTGTGATATGTACTCAAAACCCTTTGCAGTGCCTTGGTCCTGTGTTTTGAATACAGCTAGTATGGTCTGTTTCTTCCAATGGGGTATGCTCAGAGAGTTCTACATCTACCAAATCTTTTATGCAGTGTCCTGATTTTAGAAAACTAGACTGCCTGAAGCTCAATTGCCTTAGGCACTCTTTCTCCCCCATACTATTAATGAAAAAGATGTGTGGGTGTATGGAGGGGGTAACCCTGGACATTAAAATGCATTTATTCATTTACCATCATGGAATATGTATAAAGGAAAGCATGTCAAAGTCTTTTACCCTAGTAAAGTAAACTTGCTGGTGTTTTCCACCATTCTAATTTGGGGTTAACTGATGAATTGTTTGCGTCTCTGATAAAAGTCCATGTTATTTTCTTTTTAGATCAAACAGAGTTACGCATTTCACGGGACTGTATTTGGGCTGTGTTTCATGAGAGTGCCTATAACATGCTCTCACCATTCCCAGTGTGCCCACCAGATAAATGTTCTGGAGACTCCCACAAGGGTGAGTTAATGGACCAGCGAAAGCAGTTCTGGAAGCAGCTGATGGACCATTGGGAGAGAGGCTCACATTCCATTTTGAATGTAAAGTATCAAAATTTCCAAAGTATGCAACACATCATGCTTTGCATCTGCTTTTCATCCTCTTTCCCAGGAGAGTTGACTTCTGTTATGGAAACAGAGCACTATGTCTACTTGCCCTACCCTTCCTGGTCATCCCACATTTTGATGGCATTGAAGAAAACTGTCCATGTGCTTGGCACTTTCTATCCTGGGCTGTGGATCCTTTGGAAATACAGAGATGGACCTATGCCCATTCTGGCTTCAAAGAGCAG